TCCAACTTGGTAATAAATATTGGGAAATTATGGTACGAACATAAATTCGTCAATGAATGTACAATTCTCGGAATTTTTTTAGTGTTCAATTCTGTAAACTTTACGATTTATTTATAACGAAACTTTTTTACGAGTAGGTAGCCAGAAATAGTACTAACTTTAATGATTTTTACAGATCTGATGCAATTTGATGGAACACAAATGGGCAGGATTCAATTATGCATTGTTTTATGGAATTATGACCCAAGTGAACCGGTGTAACATCTTTGCTCAAAAGTGTTTAAAACAATATGCATACAAAAGCTTCAGAGTAACTGTCCACGATTCGTCACTTGAAGAATGCATGCATTCGTCCTAAACGATAGGCGGGTTTAACGTTATTTGTAAGCTACCTATTGTATATACCGACGCAACGTGGACTATTAATGGTATTAATCTAACAAAGCACCTCAATATATGTATAATAAACTAATTATGACAGCAAATCGGTCAAGATTTTCTCAGTAGACGAATCATGACATAAATTATGGCTATAAAAAATTAATAACACGTATAAAAACTAGGTATATCCAATTCTTTATTGTTATAAACGTTTTTTTTTTCAATATTTTTTCTGGTTTGGAGATGACCAGTATAAATCATAGGACCACTCTATGAGTTGGTATGGTGAACTGGGCTGGTGGTCACGTGACCCGCTCACCACACGTGACTTCGTTCGTGTTTGATTTTGACAGTTGCTCCACGCGGCCACAGAGTCTAAATGGCGTAATATTTGTGTGCAAGCGTTGTTGTTGTTTGTGTTACTGCCGTTATTGGTTTGGTAATATTGTAGGTATAAAATATTGTTGTGACTAGTGTTTGGTAAAACCCAATATGTACACTGAGATCGAATCGTAGATCTCATGTCTATAGACATATTTACGTACGATGCAAAAAGCTTTAGACCTTTAATTATCTATAAGTATAACTTTCCTTTCATTTCATTTAATTAAGTTTATAAGTTACATAGATAATAAAAAAAAACTCTAAACCGAACTCAAATAAATATGTCAATATTTAACTACTCGATATTCCAATAACTATTTGAAATTTGACCAGTTCAAAGTATACCGAAACTAGTTTTTTAACCATAACTTATTAAATCGTTATTTAGAATCGATTTCACACCGATATGTAACGGTAGATAAATGTTTATGTTTTTAATTCTCATGTGGTTTCTTTGGATTTTAATGTTGGACTTTGAAAAAAAAACATGGAATAGGCTTAAGGTGCACGTGACGTGCGTCGGTGCCACGTGGCCCAGTCCTCTAGAAGGCCAGCCACTAGCTGTTGGTAGTATCTAATTCCTCTGGTATTGCAGGTGTCCAGGTAGCATATTATGACGTCTTAAAGCCAGAGTGATTCCGCTAAGGGAAGGAGATCTCCCTAGACGACTTGTATAGCTCTGTTTCTTTCCCTCAATGGAACCATTGTCACTTTAGGACGTCTTAATAACCCGGCATAACAAACAAATAAGTTAGAATTAAAAACTTTTTATGCTACTAGCCATTTATGGCCATGTTAACTAAATGTGTATACAAAATTTCATCTCTATCTTTTTTAAATGGGACAAGCCCGCCACAACCCCCCAAAACCGCTGCAACTCCTGTAAGCCAGGATCTACAGTAGATACAACCATGAAAACACCGGAACACTGATGTCCGGCGCGTCCCAGGGACATGAGTAACTGTCTTGGTTCCCGCAACGAAGTGAATCAGAAGATATTATAAGAAGAGAAGAAGAAAAACAAAAAAAAAACTTCATCATTCATCTTTATCTGTTAACGATATCAGTTTCAAAATTAAATTTCAAAATACCACTTCACACATAAAGGTACATACATTGAAAGCGAAATAAAACCAAAGCAAAGCCTGCGACGGCGCAACTCAAGCCAACAATTATGCAAATAAAGCTAATGCAACACGAACTGAAACAAAGCTGCACGTTGATTGGTAACTTTTAAAATGTCATAGTGTGGTTGGCGGATATGACATTCATTGTTTTATTAATAAAAATTACTATGTGGATCGTATCGCTTTGCATTTCAATAAATTACTTTATATGAAACACAGAAACACGAGACACAGAGACGAAAACTTTTCTCAGTAGATGAAGCCTCTTCGCCTAAAATTATACTGTTCTTGATATAGAAAAACTGTTTAATAATCATTAGTGACAATGATTTTCCATACTAACACCAGTTTGTTTTATAACAATACTACTAGAAACGATTAAGTGCTAAAGTGCTAGATTTATTTACAACAGACAGGTTATTTTTCTAAATTGATACTTGAATATTTATTATTAAAATATTTAACAAAGTTTATACCAAAGAAGTCTTGATTTAAGATTAAGATAAGAAGAGAGCTTCATAAAAACGCCAGCGAAAATAACCAACTTCTTTCTATGGCGTACGAAGAAAAGGATCACCTGATAGTACGCTTAACGCAACCCATAGAGACTCATAACACCAAAGGATTTACAATAACTTAACATAACATCACGCGTTTTATCCCCGAATAGTTAGGCAGCGGTGCATATTACGGCAATTAATGCCACTGTACAATGTAACTACCACTTTTCACTATTCATGTTAAATAATAGGAGGTGAGCCTATTGCCATATACTGGACACAATTCCAGACTGCGTGCTTCTACTGAGACTTTTTTTTCTAAAAACTCAGTACTTAATACTTTGCCCGTCCCGGGAATCGAAACCGAGATCCCTTACCGCGTCGGACTTAATATAACTTGGCCAACGAGGGCCAACGAGTCGCGGCAGATTTACAATACTTTGCCAATATTTATAAGGGAGTCAGCTCTTTTCTTGAAGGTTATTGGCTTCGTGACATCTATTACAAAGTGTTATAGATAAATTATTACAAAGACTGCAATATATCTCGTGTTATGGTAACTGATGAACTTGTGATAATAATGCGTCTGGAGTAAATATTACGTATGTAAGTAAGAACTATGTCATCAAACACATTGTAATTGTCTCATAAATAGTTATTATTGGCCATCAATCGAATCAGACGCTTGAACAACACTGGTTAACAACAAAAGTCAAGTTCAACAAGACTAGTATTAGGTACTTTTGAACGCGGAGAAAATTTTTAAAGATAAAAGTGTCGATCTTGGTTAATCTCCTAGTGTGGCTATCAGCTCGTTCTAAAGTGTATATTCCTATGAAGAAGAGTGAACAACAAGAAACGGAGTAGGGGTAAATAGTGTGTGTTTTTGAGACTTCACATGTGGTAAGGATGACACGTCTGTTAGTACTTTTGACCTCATAAACTTTGCAACAATATTATAACATAACATTGATTGCCATATCGGAGGTGCCATAAACGTCTATTTGAAATTTAATCGGTGTCAAGGTTTGCATCTATGATGAATTCAAATTAAAAACACACGTGCTTTGCGAAAGGTTCATTGTAAAGCTTATATAATCACATCAGCTGATTTTGGAATGCTTATATTGTCTTTAGCCAATCATTTTAATTACAATATCATTTACATCATTCCAAAGTAAGATAAAAAGTAATCATAATAATAAATAGTCCCTCGCGGCCCATTTTTTAACTATGAGCCTGTTCTACGCAACAAATATTTCCTAATATCTTTCAAAAAACCATTTTTAACTTAAAGTAATTACAGATTATGTTAACTTTGTGCTGGAAAACAAATTACCCGAGCGGTTCAAAGTGGTATAAAATAACTAATCAATATTCTGCGAATCGAAATTAAAACACCGTCCTATTAAATTGCCTATAAGGAAAAGCCAGACATGCTGTAGGCGTATGTTTATAGGCTTTACAAAAGCTTCTGACATTGTATTATACCAAAAACTTTGACTAAAACTAGATGACCGCGCGCTCGAGGGCACGATCGATCAGTTATTGCGGAATCAATCGCGGTACATAAAACAGGTACTCCAGTTTAAAATACTACTACGTGACGCAGCTCTTGCATTTTAGGAATACCCCAAGGTAATATTATCGGACCAACTTTTTTCAAAGTCAAAGTCAACATCTTTTTGGCCCATTCTTATTTTATAGATACTTAAATCGAAAATAGGTTCAAGGTTGAAGTTGATAAAATTATCTACTTAAAAATATAATACGTATGCGAAATACAAAAACGGTAGGCCAAAATTTTCAAACTTGAACTTGAAAGATCGACTGTGCGCCCTGGCTGAAGGTCTCATTTATTATATTTACATTATCGGAACCAGCAAAATGTTCAATTAAATGGAGACAGGCCTTTAGAGGCCGCCTACAAGATGCCACTGTAAAATAAACATTGCAATTTTAAACTTCACAAAATCCTTGTCCGTAATCAAAAAATAATAATATTAATATTCTCGAACGTTTCGAAAGTCCTTAAAATGAAGAAATACACGCACATTAAGCACCTTCACCCATTTATTCTGATCGCTATATTAATTATATAAAGGCTGGCTTTGTTTTACTATTACATAACCTCGATGTAGATAAAGCAAGTTACTTGTATGTCTTTATTATCGTTATTTACTAACCAACGTTCAACGACCGTGAAATTCTGGTATTAAATTATTTATATCTGAATAATTTATAACCTTTGAACTTTAAATATAATTTACTAATGCACTTCAAATCTTCATGAACTCACGAAACACTGAAAGCCTCGCATTTGCGATTTATGTGAGCGAAATAAATTTTTTATTACATTAGTAATCATTTTAACAGATAAATTAGCGTCTATACTCAGCAGACCCCTGTTCGAGGTTTCATCTCGATCCCTTCAGCCGTTTCTCCGTCAAGGAGTAACAAACAAACAAACATACAAACTTTTTAATTTATAATATTGGTAGGATTATAATATAATATAGTCGTTGTTCAGCAGTGGACGTCTTAGCTAATTTTGATGATGATGATGATTTTAGTGACAAAAAATACATCACCGTATTGTTTGTTTCAGATTCAATGCTGTGCGTCGTAGTAATTGCTACTAGTTCAGTAAGAAGGTAGCAGTAAAGTCTACTGCTAACGTCTAAAATGACGAAATCACTAAAGATGGGATACATTACCAAGGGAAGTTCAGAACAGACTAAGAATATAAAACGTAAGTACATAATCTAATATTTAATAGTTGTGCACCAGTGTGACTACCAAGGAGTTTCTAATACAATTCTCAGACCAGGTAGAACACTAGGAACGATATAAAATTCTTATTGGCGCACAGACTAAACGAATTTAGCATACTAAATTAGAAACAATTCCAGTTTTACTGATAATATCTTCCTAAACCGCCATAATAATATCAAATTTCTTTACCAAACCCCACATTAAAGGTGCAATGTTGTAGTTTTTATTATTGATATGCAAGCAATACATTTTTTTATGGCATAAGCCGGTAAACGAGCGGACGGATCACCTGATGGTAAACAATCGGCGCCGCACATGGACACCTGGAACACCAGCGGCGTTATAAGTGCGTTACCGGCCTTTTGGGGATTAGGAGTTTGAGGATCGTTGGGGATTCAGGAATTGGGGAGATTGGGGAAGGGGATAGTAATTGGGCCTCCGGTAACCTCTTCACACGACGAAACACAACGCAAGCGTTGCTTCACGTCGGTTTTCTGCTCGGCCGTGGTATCACTCCGGTCGAGCCGGCCTATTCGTGCCGAAGCATGGCTCTCCCACACTTGAATTGTCAATACATTGTTTAACAAGTGTGTTATTGTTATTTCAGTTCAGCTGTTCGTGTACTTGGTGCTTGGAGTGACCTGCCTCTCTGTGGCACTCTGCACGGTACTAGTGGATCCTATACGCATCATTTCCGTCTATGTGAGTACTGTTTTTATAATAACTATCGGGAGTCATACTGAATTGACTAGAAAATATGAGTAACTCACGGGCATATAGTGAGCAAAGATCGACCAGTTTTGGGTCACAGAAACTCTGGATATATTGAGAGAGGAAAATAAGGTGAGTTTGTTTATGTTGAAGAAGAGGCTGAGGGGAGAATTGCTTAAGAGAGCATAGGCATAGGCAATGCATTCTTTAATTTCTATCTTTTGTAATGTGTATTTTTTTTTTTTTTTTATTTCAGTTTTCTTTTAATGTTATATAAAGTACTTAATTAGCTAGTAAGAATAAGAAATGAGCGCTTCTCGCCGTTAAACGATATGTTTGGCGAGGATCTATAATTATAAGAACAACATGTTAATCCTAAAATTGTACTTTTGTTAAACAAAATAAAATAAAAATAAAATAAATCTTCATTAGCAGCGTGCACGGTCGCGGTGACGTGCACCCTACTCTAGGATTCGAAACTAGTAAAACTTTTCTCAGTATAGAGGTATTTACGTCACTAACTCGTAATTTTACGGTATGTCATAAAACCTAACTCTACTCGTGGGTGTCGTAAAGTCCACTACACAATGTACAAAAACTAAAAAAATCACGTATAAAAATAAGTATTAAAATAAAACAGAACAAATTGACATGCAACAGCTTTTTATACTTTTTTTAAATTCGTTTAGTACTTGATCGTTATTGACAGTACTTACCCTAAGGCATTTGTACTGACGTCATATCCGGCCAAGTGTGAGAAGGAATCGTACAACGAAGGTTGCATAGCACTAGAGGATAAAAAGTTTTAAAAAATAGAAAATGATCAGTGTCTACATCATTATTATTTATTTATTCATTTAACAATGTATACTCCGTGAAATTTATTTCGTTTTCGTCCCGAAGGTAAATGGTTCTGTCACGGTAATACAATAGTTTTGCAAAGAAATAAAATGTTTAAAATAAAGAAAAAGGGGTGAAGCATCAAGTGCCTAAAAATGTATATCTAGTGTGATTACATATGCGAAAGTCAATGCATATCTTATTGTAACTAGAAAAAATTAATACACAATTGTTTTGTTTTTACTTTATATACTGAAAGTACTCCTTATGGCAAGTTGTACGAAAACGAAATTAAGCTCACGGTATATAGATACTAATTTGTTTCTGACTAATTATTTTAAAACTGCCTCGTTGGCCGAGTGGTCGCAATAGCGATTGCCGGGCAAGGGGTCTTGGGTTCGATTTCCGGGTCTGGCAAAGTAATACTGGGTTTTAAAAAAAATATCAGTAGTAGCACGGAGTCTGGAATTGTGCCCGGTATATGGCAATAGGTTCACCCCCTATTACATAGGACTCATAACATAAATAGTGAAAAGTGGGTGTTACATTGTACAGTGGCATAATGTGCACCTCTACCTACCCCTTCGGGGATAAAAGGCGCGATGTTATGTTATGGAATTATTTTAAAAATAATAATAAAAAGTAACATGATTATATTACCTAATTAATTCGATTTCTTAACTTATTGGAAATGCAACATATCGATTCTACATACATAAGGGATTTTCATTTTTATAGCACCACAGCTGAGGTCGTTTTGCAAGACAAAAATACTTACATTTAATTCTAAGTAATCCATAGTTCTCTATACATATGGAAGTGAAGGATATACAAACGGACATACTACATGACCTGTTATTGACGTAATATTTACGCTATTGACGTAATAGTGATAGTGAATTGAAGTAAACTGCATCGTCAGTTGACTGTCTAGCAAAAGGTCACGAGTCAATTCACGGGTCAGACTTAGTACTGTTGTTGTCATTCGGTGATATTGACGTCGTTGAGATGATGAACAGACTAACCAGTCTCTCTTCTCCTCAGTACGCCCGCGTGGGTCCCGGCACCCTCCTAGACGTGGCGCTGAAGAAGGAAACCGACAGCATTCACCTTTCTGCCTACCTCTTCAACATCACCAACGCTGACCGGTTCGCCAGTGGAGAGGATGACAAGCTCAAGATGGAAGAAGTTGGTCCTTTTACTTATCAGTAAGTCATTTTTATAAGTAGTTTTTAATAGGCTATAATATTGGTAGCATTTTTTTATTTGATGAATGATGAATCTTATGAATGATGTAAATATAATGATATGAGTCAATAAAGCTTTAAAATATTAATATGTTTGTTAACGGATATTAATATCCGATTTAACTCGTCGAGTATCGTCATTATAGACACAATTATAGAACAATAGGTTGCGGTCACCGGTGACAGTTGACAGTTTAAGAAATTTTCCATTCGAATCTACATTTACAATAGATGTCTAATTTTTATTTTAATGTCCGTCTGGTAGATTATTTTAAATCACGTATTCTTTATTTTCTTACAGAAACGAATACTTTCGACTATACCTATATTGGTTTGAAATGTCGCGTGACGTCACTTCTATGTACATTTTATACGTAAAAATGACGTTTTAGCCCCCACTCCTAAACTTTGATTCATTTTATCTAAGCATTGTTTTATTATACCTACAACAAAATAAAAAAATACGTGTCTAGTATTTTTTCATTACCTAACTTAAGGACTAATTAGATTTTTAATTTTCATACCCTGTCATCATCCTAATTGGAAAGAGTTCAGTTTTGATGTATAAAAAAACAAGTAAAAGAAATAAAAGCTAGTTACACTAAGATTTGCACCTCCTACATGAATAAAAGATCATAAACTGAATAATCTAAACCAATCCAAACAACCACATTAAGCAAGAAGTTACAACACAATAAAGACTTTGATTAATTTCTCTCTACTAAGGACATAGGTACTTACATTGAAACAATAATTTCTTCAGGAAACATCTACAATGTATACCTAATTGTAGCTAATTACATCTCCTTGTTACCTGAACAATAGTAAGTAGAGAATGATAGTCGGCAGGTCAAGGTTCCAATCTTTTTATATATAACTTTCAACTATAATTACAATATGTTTTCCTCACCTTGTAATACAAGAAATGTAATCGGTTATTAGTAATTACTCATATTCTGTCATCGTTAATCTACTGTAATCTTGTGACGATCTGTAAACAATACAATGCATAGTTTTGTTTACAATGTATGTAATTGACACGGAACTGTTGATGGGGCAGAATTTATTTGTTAATCGTAATTTTAACTTGTTTAGTAAATACTATTACAAAACATCGGTTCAGCCAATCGCAAAATAATCAGGCACATACAGAGATAAAACTTAGAACTTCCTTTTTTTGAAGTTGGTTAAAAATGAAAACTGATTCCAATTAAAGAAACGATTTATGATTTTGATTATTATAAATTTCCTATACGTGCATAAATAACTTCACGCCTGTCTCCCATGGGGGTAGGCAGAGACTAGGGAACGCCGATTACTACGATTCTTATATACCTCTTTCGCTTTATTAACAGTCATCAATCTTTTCATGCATATTCGTCGGTTAAGGGTACTTTTAATTTGCCCTTCTTTAATATATCGCCAATCTAACCAATATAAATCCGTCTAGGGCGCCCTCTACCGACGAATTTCCTATACTAATAATAATAAAATATTATTACATAATACATAAACAGTTACATCAACATTATAAATGTGGCACTAAATTCCACACAAGTACATATATCTAAAATATAATAATATAATTATTATATAAGTTATTATTAGTATTTATCTACATTGTATTTAATATAATATACAATACACATCGAACGCATAATCTATTAACTGTCGCACTCAGCGACATTTTAAATGATTACTAAAACCATACTTTAGTAACGATTTTGTTCCGAAAATGATTCCGAAATGGACTGGTTTAGGTAACCATTAAATGACTATCTGTGTATGACAAAAAAACCTTTTGAATTCTTATCGTTACTAATTAGTGTGTAACACTTTAGTTAGGACTAAAAAAGAAAGGAAAATAATTAATTTATTTTCTTACCTAGGAGTAGGTACTTACATTTTGGAATTAGAATATTCGTCCGTCAGTAAAGCTAGGTTAGCACCTAGCTTTCAAAACGTCAAGGTAGCTCTTGACGTTTCGAAAATGCCTGTATTTTGGTTAAATCTATTTAAATAAAAATAAATTGCCGCTCATTAGTCTCGCTAAAACTCGAGAACGGCTGAACCGATAGCTAATTTTGGTCTTGAAATGTTCGTGGAAGTCTAGGGAAAGGTTGAAAAGGCGGTACGTAGTTTCCCGGATCAGCTAGTTTGATATAAATGCATTGACATTGACTTTGTAGTTAAAGTCATAACACACTTATGTAACCTTCTGGATCTGGCTATCAAGCAAATCAGGACACAGAAAGCCATAATCGTATATTAATCATTAATGATACTAAATTACATTAACTACTAAACGTAATTGTTTATAATAAATGATTTAATTGACCTAAATTGCATCGAGGCTTTAGTCACCGACCTAGTTCATCGAGTTTTCTAATTGCATACCTGTCATATTTATGCCTACTGCCCAGATTGCGTCATTTGACGAATGCATGCTCTCGTCAAAAAACGCTAGACTGATTTAATGGTGTCCCTTCGTACACAGTCTTCATATTATAATAATTTTAATAATTTATTTATTTATTCAGATAATACAATCCATATGGTTAGTAAAGATATCTACAACTTAAAAACTAGTATTAGTACATCACCCCTCTTCATATAAAATTAAAATAATTTGTCATAAGTAATATAATGATGATAATATAGTAACAATACTGCTGACTTTCACTACTTCTGGGCACGGTTTGTAGGCAACACTTGCGTCTTCGTCCAGTGTTTTAGCATAAGGCCATCAGTCCTATCCGCCACGGTCATCAGAAGACTGTTGGCGCTGCCCCGCACCCGCTGCATCAGGGAGGCGACACGCTTTCTTATGATTGCGTAGAAATCATCTATGCGTGCATCAGCGAACATCCCCGATGCGCTACAGTGTCGAGGCAGCCCCAACAGTGCCCTGTACGCGTTATTATATTGGACTCGCAAGGCGCTGTAAGCCCTCTGCGTGTAGTCGACCCATAGGCTGCAGGTATAAAAAGATTGACAATATGCCCTGAAAAGTGTAGCCTTCACATCATGAGAACACTTTGCAAACCTGCGGATCAACATATTGCTCCTGACTGACAGCGCCCTACGTTCCCTCTCCATGTCTTTACTATCAGTCTGTGTGTCAGTGACCCAGTGCCCCAGATACTTGAAAGAAGTGACCCATTCCAAAGCAGTCCCCGCAAGTGCAACGGGTGGTATATCATAAGTTTTAGTACCTGCCCTGAAGAGTAGACACTCGCTCTTCCTTGCATTATATCTAAGACCCTGGGCCTCGGCATATCGCTCACACACCGACAACAGCGTCCTGAGGGCGCTGATCGATGGGGCCAGAAGCACCATATCATCCGCATAACTAATGTTGTTGACAAGTGTTCCGTTGATTGAACAACCTACCATAGTGCTGCAGAGCTCACGAACCAGCCCATCCACATATAGACAGAAGAGCTTCGGCGAAGTCAGGCCGCCCTGCCTCACCCCACACTCCAGTCCATACGGATCCGATAGCCGGATTATACATATAATAAAATCGTAGGAAAGTTAAAACTGTAAATCGAATATTTTTTTAAAAGAATGTTTTGTGCGTGATCTGCAGTCGATCGATACCGAAACCAAAAATATGTTTTTTAGAATTTTGTCTCTTTGTCTGCATGTATGTCCGGAATGAACTCAAAAAGTGCTGCATGATTTTTTTTTATTTTTGCATGAATATTACTAACAGGTCGGGTCAACATATCGGTTACATAGTATCATGCTATCAACTACGGGAGAGGAGCTGTGAATCACTATTCCACGCGGACGAAGTCGCGGGCTCAGCTACTTGTTTTTAAATTTCATTGCATCGTGCAAGCATTTGTCATTTGTAGGCCGCCTATTGTGTGTGAAGGATGCATGCCTTCGTCAAATGACGCAACGTGGATAGTTACTCTCCCATGCCAAGTTGTAATGTGGCGTCATAGTAACAGCATTTTTTACGATGTGTAAATCACACGACTATTGCGTATGCGATTTCAAAAGTTAATCTACGAATATAAAGTTATGGTTGCACCTTATAGTTACGAATTTATCTATAAATCTTGTCAAGTATTACTGGGTTTTTAAAAAAAAACTCAGTATTAGCGCGGAGTCTGGAATTGTGGCCGGTATATGGCAATAGGCTCACCCCCTATTACATGGGACTCATAACATAAATAGTGAAAAAGTAGGTGTTACTTCTGTGTGCACCTCTTCCTACCCCTTCGGGGATACAAGGCGTGATGTTATTTTATGTTATTGTCAAGTTAAAGTAAGACTAATAATCAAACTTGTAAATACAAGATGGACTCTCCAGCACTACTGAATTATACGACAAAATAGGTATTATTACAACTACTACTTTATTACAAAACTTTAAAGTTACAAATCGGGTTAAGAAAGTTAGAGTATGTTGTTCTGCCCGCGTTTGTATCTCATTAATGCAAGATACGCTCTCGAAGTTACCGCATTGGGTTCAAGTCCAGTCCACAAATCATGGATGATTGTGTAACTATTACATTACATTTATATGTAGCAGTGGTCGCTTAGTGAACCAAACTTGACCGTATTTTATTTAAGGCTTTTATATTATATCTAAATCTGCGACATACATATATTTCTTTATTTATTCATCCCACACACAAAATTACAATGAATAAATCGTATATATCTAATCTATATACATATCATAAAATCGTAGAAAGGTCTAAACTGTACATTCAATATTTTTTTAAAGAATAGGTACTTTGGGCATAATCTACAATCGATACCGAAACAAAAAATATATTTATTTAGAAATTTTGTCTGTATGTCTGTATGTATGCCCCGGCTAAACTCAAAAAGTACTGCATAGATTTGCCTCAAATTTTGCATGAATATGCTACATGTTATCATTCTGTCACCTACGGGAGAGAAGCTGTGAAGAACTATTCAAAGTCACTATTCCACGCGGACGTAGTCGCGGGCATCTACTAGTTATACAATAAATGAATAAAAATAATTCACAAACTAAATATTACAATTATCTTTTTCCAGAGAGAATCGCACGAATGATGACATGGAGATAGACCTGGACGCTGGAGTGGTGCGGTACACCCCTCGACACAGGGTTACCTTCCTGCCTGAGGAGTCAGTCGGAAGGCCAGAGGATATGGTGCTGACCATGCCTAACATTGCTATGCTGGTAAGTACAAAAACTATTCCTTATCACTACATAGTATAAAACAAAGTCGCTATCCGCCGTCTGTCTGTCCCTATGTATGCTTAGATGTTTAAAACGACACAACGGATTTTGATGCGGTTTTTTTATAGACAGAGTGATTCTTAAACTGTCAAACACCACGAGGACACCGGTGACCGCAACCTATTGTTCTATAATTGTGTCTATAATGACGGTACTCGACGAATTCTTATATGTTGCTTAGCAAATGTACTCTTGTACATTTCAGAGCAAGTGATAACTAACTAAACAAATGAAACTGACAAACCTATCAATTATACTATCAATGTGGAATCTCAACAGATACATTTACACACATCTAAATAATTCTACAAATATGACCGGACTCTACTATTGACATAATATATATTTTGTACGGTGATACATAGTCACTTTGAACCACACTATTTATGTTTGAAAAGTAAATAGACATCATAGTACTATCTTTGCTACGTAGCGTAGTAGTTACGTAACTGCTACGCTGGCTACGACGTAGCACTTGTCTAGTTTGCTACGAAAAATAACTACGGGCCTAGAAAAATGTCATGAACGTAAGAGTTGAATATATACATATTAGAGAATAGAATACATATTAAGTCAATATATTGTTAAGAGATAATAGATACAGAAATCACGAAAACCCAAATAAATTATTTTTCAACAGTTAACAATACATAATTATTGCTGATAGTAATGTTGTGCTGTTAATTCTATATATAACTAACCATCTACTTTATTTTTTCCAGAGCATGGCATCAGGAGTATCCACTTACGGGTATTTCGCGAAAATGGCGTTCAACATGCTAGCAGCTCGGCTGGGAAGTGAACCCACTGTCAATATAACAGCCCACGACTACCTGTGGGGTTACAATGAGCCGCTCATCAGTCTGGGGAACAGCATCCTGCCTGGATGGATCAATTTTGATACCTTAGGCGTTTTGGATAGAGTGAGTTACTTTATGTAATTGCAAGACTTTCGACTGCCTCGGTTTTTGAGTATCCGAAGTACGACTGAGCGACAAGGGGTCTCGGGTTCGATGCCCGGGTTGGGCAAAGTATCACAGAGTTTAAAAAAAATCTAGTTGTAGCACGTCGCAGTCTAAAATTGTGACCAGTATATGGCAATAGGCTCACCCCTATTACATGGGACTCATAACATAAATAGGTAGTGAAAAGTGGATGTTACATTGTACAGTGGCATTTTAGTGTCGTAATGTGCACGTCTGCCTACCCCTTCGGGGTTAAAAGGCGTTATAGAGGTAGTATCTCTTATAATCGATCTACTTTCTAATTGTCTACTGCAATATCACAATTTACAGCTGTACGATGAGAAGGCGCCTCTCAGGGTGGAAGTGAGCGCTCATAACGACGACAAGTTTATGATCAAATCAGTTAATGGCGTCAGTGGGCTGCCAAACTGGGGGTATCCGGATACCAGGTAAATAATATCCATATTAAATAAACCGTCGTACTTTTTACCTGACATACAGTTTGACCCAGTCGTGGTGGCCCGGAGGTTTAAGACGCCCGCTTCTCATGCATGAGGGTGCGGGTTCGAAACCTACCAACGGCAAGTACCAATGTGACTTTTTCCGAGTTATATGTACTTTCTAAGATTATTTAGACACCACTGACAAACGGTGAAGGAAAAACATCGTGAGGAAACCTGGACTTATAATTTCTAATTATGACAAGAACAAACAAGTCTCATGTCGTGGTGGCCCGGAGGTTTAAGACGCCCGCTTCTCATGCATGAGGATGCGGGTTCGAAACCTACCAACGGCAAGTACCAATGTGACTTTTTCCGAGTTATATGTACTTTCTAACATTATTTAGACACCACTGACAAACGGTGAAGGAAAAATATCGTGAGGAAACCTGGACCTATAATTTCTAATTATAAGTTTGAAATCGCCAACCCGCAATGAGCAAGCGTGGTGATTAATGCTCAAACCTTCTCCGTGTGAGAAGAGGCTCAGCTCAGCAGAGGGCACTTATAGGCTGTTGATGATGACAGTTTGACCAAAAGTGGAGCAAAAAATGTTTAATCTACATGTACTTGTAACTCGAAAAGGCTGGCTTTTTTAATTTAAGATCTGTTGGAATCTAATGGTTCGATATTCTGTTTAACTGCTGAGCTAGGACTGCATTCGTACATTTCCTTCTATTTTTTAAATGTGTGCCTGGTTCTGCAACACTCACTTTTTCTCACTTTTACTTAATCTTTTAACACTCGCCTTCTTTCCAAGGTCATCTTGCAACAGTTTCAACAACAGCTACGAAGGCATCATCTATCCACCAGACATGTCTGCTGAAAGACCTCTGAAGATCTATCGCAACGTCCTCTGTCGGTTCATGGAGCTGGAGTACGTGGAGGACAAGATCACGGACTATGGAGCCACCGGCATGTGCTTCCAAATCACCAACAACAGCTACAGCAAGATCCCTGAGAATGAGTGCCTCTGTGCCAAGGGGATCTGTCACGATGGGATCTCTGATTTGTCCCCTTGTTTTTATGGTGAGTTGTGAGTTTTAAATTGCGTTGTTGAGTAAGATTGCTGTTAACATTTTTGATATTTCTGCTTTGTAATCAAGTAATCAAGTATTTATTGCATCAATACTGTATGTACATATACAGGTGGTTAGATAATACAATAGTAACAATAATGGACCCTGTCGGACACAGCAACATTAAAAATTGGTAGGAGAGAGGAAGGGCGTTTTGTTAGATTACTATTAATTTTATGGCAAAATTAATAAAAAAAGGTATTAGACAAGTAAATTATTGTAATGTATCAATGTTACTCGGTCGTTCTTTACCTAGTATAATATAGGATATTTAGTTTTGGGTACCTAATTGTTTCTGATGGGTACCTAGTTAGTTACAAACAGTGTTGGTTATCTTAAACAATGTTTTTCCCCGAAGTGTTAGAAGTAGCTTACATAGAGACTCATACTCACCGTTTAGCTTAAAGATTAGTTGCAAAAATTTACATAATTAAATAAAAATTAGGCAATATTTGCTTATTTTTAATATTAATTTCCCAGGTCTGCCAGTCGTTCTATCAAACGCTCACTTTTTGGATTCAAACCCGCTGTTGTACGACCGCATCGAGGGTATGAAACCTGACAGAGAGCAACATGGGAGCGAATTTATGATAGATCCTGTAAGTTCAAAATTTATTTTAATTACATAGCAATTG